TTCCTCGTGCAAATCCCTATTCAGGACATATGCAAGGCAGCAACATGGTCTTCCATCCACACCTTCACATCGCACTACGCCATCACTCAACAGGCGAGGGATGATGCAGCCTTCATCAAAGCAGTACTGCAATCAGCAACTCTGTGAACTCTGACCCCTCCTCCGTGGAAACTGCTTGGGAGTCACCTATTGGAATGGACATGAGCAAGCACTTGAAGAAGAGAAAACTGTTACTTACCATCTCGTAACTGTTGTTCTTCGAGATGCGTTGCTCGTGTCCATTCCAAATCCCACCCGCCTCCCCTCTGTTGGAGTATTCAGGAAGAAGGAACAGAGCAGGCAGGGGGTCGGCAGGAGCTATATATACCACCAGGAAGGTGCCACTCCAAGGGGTTCCACAGCTGACCCGACAGGTACCACCAGGATAAAACCTTCCGATGATTGTGCACACAGTGCGCACACACCCCATTGGAATGGACATGAGCAACACATATCGAAGAACAAGAGTCACGAGATAGAAAAAACGGTTACTTACCTTGTGTAGTCTAGTAATGCCCTTAGGTTTAGTTAAAATAGTTAAGACAGCTAGTTTGTTGCACTGGATGATGCTCTTACTGTGGTTTAAACGTTGTCCATTGTATGGGGTCGCTATCCCCAACAGTGAACCTCAGCCATGGTGTTTGTTGTGCCTAGGAGAAGGGCACAATAATGAAAGGTATTCTATATGCAAGTCCTTTAACAGGAGGACTCAGGTTTCAGGTCCCTTGTTACAACACCTCTCAAAGTAGGCCATGAGGCCCTCAGCACTAGGGACTTCTTCAAACCACATAGCTCTGTGCTCTCTTTCAGAGCAGACATGAAATGTGGCTCCTAGCTTAAGAGCCAGTGCTTCTCCTAACAGAAAAAGAAACTGTTCCCCTTCCTCAGGTCCTCCAAAGAAGAGGTCTCATAAGACTGAGCAGGACTACTGCAGGGCTTGGAGGGGCTGCATCATATAACTGCATGCACTTTTGTAGACCAGCATGCAAGACTGTGCTTTTGCCTTCTTCAAATGTGAAGTTGTCAACTGTTGGACAGTCTTGTCTGAGTGCCTCTGGAGATCCTGGATTCCCTACAGCAGTTCTGAGCATGTATGCCAGGATATTCCCTTTGCATGTCCTCCACTGACCAGGACTATAGTCACCAATGCCATCACCAATAGGTTGGAGAGCACATCTAAGAGCGTTGAAAATTCAGGGCTTGTGCTCAGAACAAATCAATGTCTTTGAGCTTCAGGCCATTTACAATGCCCGCCAAGCCTTCTGGGATCACATCAGTAGTACAGCGGTTCATGTGTTTAACAATAACACTGCAATACGTTACGAGAACAAGCAGGGTAGAGCTCACTCCAATTTGCTGTGTCAGGAGGCAATAAAGTCATTGGCAGTTCTGCATCTGGGAGAGCATCATTCCCACAGCCACTCACTTACCTGGGGCTCAGAATCACTTGGCAGATCACCTCAGCAGGAATTTCTCCCAAAATCATGAGTGGTCTCTGAAGTCTTGTATTGAGGTCCATCTTTGTGGAATGGGGCATTCCCAACTGTTGACCAGTTTGCAACAAGACACAACCAGAAGTGACATTAATTTTGCTCTTGAGCAGATCTTGGTCCAGGCTCCTTAACTGACGCCTTCCATATCAATCATGGATCAGCTCTAATGTATGCTTTCTCTCTGATCCCAAAAATCCCACAGTTCATTCTCAAGCTGAAACTGAACCATGCCAAACTGACTTATCGCTCCAACCTGGCCAAGGCAATGTTGGTTCTCCGACCGTCTCAGTCTATCAATTTGGCCTTCCATATCTCTTCATCCCGACCTACAGACTCAGCACTAGGGTCGAGTTTTGCATACAGCACTTCGCATTTTATATCTCACAGCATGGATGCTACATTGCTAGATGAGGAGGACGACTGATGTTCAGAAGCTGTTCATCAGGTGTTGCTTAACAGCAGGAAGCCCTCTCCACTTAACCAAAGAAGTCGCCTTAGTAAACATTTTTCAGTTTGGGCACTTGCTCGGGGAAATCAGCCAATGCTGGTTGGTATTCAGGGCACTTTGGAGTACCTATTACACCTTCAGTCTCCTGGTCTCTTCCTCAGCTCATTAAGGGTTCACTTGGCAGAAATTTGGCATTTCATCCACCCATCCAAGTAAAGTCAGTTTTCTCAAAACCCCATGGTGGTGAGATTTCAAATGGGAATCATTCATCTCCACCTGCCTGTGTAAAAAGCCAGTTCCCTTGTGGGACCTTCATAGTGTCCTGGCTGCCCTTATGGGTGTCAGTTGAAATCTCTGTCCCTCCTACATGAAAAGACAGTCTTCCCTGAAGTTATGAGATCTACAAGAGTATGCAGCTGAAGACCTTAATGGCAGAGCCCCAATACACACAGTTTTTCAGTGACAAAGTAGCTTTATGGCCGCATCCAAACATTTTCTAGAACGTGGTTTCATAGTTTAATCTTAACCAAATTTTATTTACTTTATTTACTGATGTTTTCCTAAACCACACTCCAACACAGATGAACAGTGCCTTCAGATGTTGGATACGAGGCAATGGTTGGCATTCTACCTGGACTGTACTAAGCCTCTTCGGGCATTGCTTCATCTGTTTATCTCCTATGCACTTTTAATGAAGGGACAGGTGATTTCTGGGCAAACAGTTTCCATGGATAACTTCTTGCATTCCTTCTGCATATGAAATAGCTGAGACCATGCCTCCATAACGACTGTGGGTTCATTCGACGAGGGCCCAAGTGATGTCAATAGCATTGATCAGTGATGTTTCAATATTGGACATTTGCAAGGCTGCTACCTGGTCTTCTATACATACTTTTACCAAGCGTTATGCAATTACCACTGCATCTAGGTCAGATGAAACTTCGTGAGGGCAGTCCTGCAACCATTCTTTAAGTATATTCCAAGTTCAACCTTCTATGAGTACAGCTTGTGAGTCACATGAGTGGAATACATGTCTACAACCATTTGAAGAAGAAAATATAGTTACTTACCTGTATTGTAACTTGTTCTTCAAGATGGGAGGAGGGAAATGCATATTGCATGACCTACCTTCTGTCCTCTCTACATCAAAGTTTCTACCCTTGATATCCAGTGTGAAGAAATTGAGGGGAGACTGGGGCAGAGCTGCCCCTGTGGGTACTGCTAGGAAAGTTCTCCAGCTTTGGTGCACTGGGCACGTGCACACCTCAGTGTAATATATGTACACCCACATCTTGAAGAACAACCATTACAATACAAATAAATAACCATCTTCTCCTATCTTGACATATGCCAATAAGATTCATGAGTATGCCTGCCCCAGTTCTTGGGTGATGTTTTTTGGCCTGTGTTATGCAGACTATATGATCATAGAAGGTCCTTTCTGACTTTAATAACTATGAAGAAAGTAAAATCTCCTGCCCCTACAACACAGCTCACATTCAAGCTGTTTTTGAAGTCTGGAGAATGTCAGATGAGCAGCTAGCATTATCTGAACCAAAACCTTTGAACCGTCAGAGCACTGTCCTTCCTTATCCATCTGTTTACTCTGTCTGTCGCTCTCTATTTTGAATATCATAAATATAAACAAAATATACAGAGCCAAATTCACTTCTGAAGTAAACAGGTGCAGCCCTATTGACTTTAGTGCAGTTGCACCCACTTACATCAGCAGTAAATTTGGTCCATATGCTAAAAACCACACAACTAATGACAGTGGTATGGAATTATAAATCCTGCTGGAAATTTTCTAGTTAGAACAAATTTATTATTAAATGGTCAGAAAAAAAATCACAAAAAGGTATTGGAATAAGACAAGATGAGAACCTCAGTTTATCATAAAAATAAGAACTTTTCAGAAAAGTCTAATCTTGGATACTAAATAAAAATTGGTCTATGATCCAGGCAGTGCTTTAAATCTCTTTGACTTTTATTTGTTCCCAGTATTTATTCTAATTAGGACTGCGCCTTTGACCAAATGCTGAGAGAGTCTTAATAGTTCTTAGTCCACTCTTACTCAGGCAAAATTCCAGCAGAAGTCAATGGAAGACTTCCCTGAATAAGGACCTCAGGATGTGATCCATTAACCATGAGGTTCAACCAAGCAGTGACTGGAAATGGAACATCCCTGCTTACGAAGTATCTAAGCACTAGTAGTATATACACCAATGTCCAGAAAAAGAGAAGTGTTAGAAAGGAGTCAAAGTAACTAGAAAGCTCCAACCCCACCTGGAAACAGTGTTAAATTATTTATCTGTTGGCTTTCCTCACAATTGCATCTGTGAACCTCACAAACATTAATGAATTTATCCCCATAGGGTCCACAGGGAAGTATTATCCTCAGTATTACAAGTGGGGAAATGGAGCTACTGGGCTATTATTGGAGTGATTTTCAGAGGTGCTGAGCACACAGTTCCCACAGACTTCTGAGGGAGTTGTTTTCAGTGATCAACACCTCTGAAATTCAAGCCATCTGTGACCTGCCTATGTTCTCACAGGGAGTCTGTGGCACAGCTGGGACCAGAACCCAGATCTCATAAGTTCCAGTCCAGCAGCTTAATCATAGGACTTTCCCCCTTCCTTGTTGAAGCCTACAGAACCCACAGAGAACCTATAAGGTTGCATTAAAGCAGTGTTTCCCAGAAATCATCCCTTCAGCACAAGTCACAGTGAAACAGTAGGTGGTTCCAGCTTCACAGCTGTCTAGGAGCCAATAAAGTCCAACAAAGTCCATGCATATTTACATATATGTGGTGGAAGGAGAGTATGAGGATTCCTCAACTGAGCTAAGAGCCCCTCAAGCATTCGGCTTTGGAACCTCAGGCACTGGGCTGTAGCAGGAATAGCCAAAGAAATTGAGAATCAAATGCATTGAAACTAAGAAAGGGCAGTTGTCCCAATGCACAGATGAATGTCTTTTGTGAACTTTTGCACACAGAGCTCTTCTCCTAGCCTGTACTCACCTCCTCATTGACCCTCTTACAGAAGATAGCAAGCAGGAAGACAGCAGCAATGGGTGGCCCCAGATAGCTGGTGATCGACTGTATATAATCAAAAAGCTGCCCACTTTGAGCTGACTGCACCACAGGAATCCAAGCAATGCTGATACCAATTAAAGCTAAGATAAATAACCTGCAAATACAACCAATAAAAAAACTGTTAGCCACTTATTTATAAACATCAATCAGAAATACAGAAATCACAATGAACCAAATCAACAATTTAACAATTCATTGGGTTATTCAACTAGCATTAAAACATGAGCAAAAATAACAGTAATCAGCCATCAGCACTGGGGAAAAAGAGCAAGCAGCAATGAAATCTCACCCGATCCATCAGCTCTCAGTCAACTCAAAATGAGAACTCTGCTCTCAAAACAATAAATCAATAAGTCACAAATAAACACAGCAATCAATAAAACAGCAGAGAGAGATGAATAAAAGAGAAATCAGCAGCATAGCTAGTGAATATTACTGATGTTGTAGCTTTGTGTAACTGGCATCTTGGAATGAAATTTAAACAGATCCCCTGGAATATCTGTAGGGAATAGACACCTCAGATTAATCCCTAAATAAGAAACATGGCCTGGAAACTACCTCACAGAATACCCAGAAAGGCACACATGGGATTAAGCTGTCAGGCCACAAGAGGTCACTGCTGCATCACATGCATTCAGTGAAAGGTTGTTCATCAAGGCACTTAAAAGTGAACTTTGAAGGGTACAGTTTTGTTAGGTTCCTAATGCTAGGAAGAGGCGCAGTAACACTTACCTTCCAGCCAGCATGAGCTCTCTCTCAGATGCCCGGGATCGTATTTTGGTGTAGATGTCCATGGTGAACAGAGTGCTAGCACTATTAAAAATGGAAGTCAGGGAGCTCATGAGAGAGGCCAGCATGACTGACAACATCAGACCTCGCAAACCTGAAACACAGAGAGACACCACCTGAGCTGGGGAGGGTCAGTCACTGGGAAAGCTCCATCAATGACATCTCTGAGTGCATGATCTGACCTCCCCAACCCAGCTATCTCTTAATAAATGAAGTATGCCCAGGTTATAACAACTGCATGGTACCCTACTGGACATAAGCAGAATGATGCCTTCTAGGTCAGGAAGCACAACATTTACAATACCACATAATACCCAGGCTGGGCTGTTAGGAGATGGATAATGCCTGTGTGTATTTACTCAGATGGGGTCCTTTGTGTACAACATCAGGGGTCAGAGACACTCCCAAAAACATACATGATCGTCATTTATACTGCCTGATTGGACTCTGGGTCAGTGGGAGAGAAAGAACACCGCCCAGGAATTACCCCTAGAGGGGTACATGATCAAACAGCATTATGATACTCAAGGGAAGATACCAGCATTACATACAACTTGCAAGAGATGACTCCACAAGGGGCATAGCAAAACCAATCCATACACAAGGGAAGTGATAAGAAACCCAGACATTGATAATCAGAGGTCTACCTAATACGGAAATGTCAGCTATCTCAATTCTCAGTCCCTGATCCAAACTCAGCTTGCAGTTACGCCAGAGTAAACTTTAAACATTTATTCTAAATTTATATCTTAAAGTCAGTGGCCCCTTGTGACCACTCTACCTTTTCGCCCCTAGCTCACAAATGTTACGAATTACACCTGGTAGGACATGCATACAACTGCTGCGAATTATACCTTGTAGGACATGCACACAAATGCTACGAATTACACCTGGTAGGACACGCACACCAATGCTACGAATTACACCTGGTAGGACACGCACACCAATGCTGCGAATTATACCTGATAGGACACGCACAGTTCGAATCTAGGCTGAGGCACAGAAACAAAGTCCACAACTGCAGAGTTCCCAAAAGACACTAAGTTTATTACACTCGAGCGTGGTGCCCCCCTGCTAGCCGGGGGGGGAACCTGAATACAGATTATACAAAGGTTATACACTTTTTAGCAAAGCATGTTGCCCTTGGGCATCGGAAACCTTAGCCAATAAACAAACCCTTGTCTTATCTACCACCTATCCCTGCTTGGTGCATTCCTCGTGCTATACCAGTATGTTAATTACACAGCATGGTCCTAAAGCCATGCATCAGTAACTTTTATTATCAGAATGGGAGGCCTCACATCAAGGCCAAGAGACAGGGAGTTAGAGACTAACAAAAAACAGATACTGGGAGTCAAGGCAGGCTGGAGACAAGGAGGAGGATTTTCACAGGGATTCAGTATCTAAGGATCACTCCTCCTGGTGTATGATGTGCTGGCATTTAAACAAAGGTGGGCCCCAAACCAAAATGGAGTCACATGTGCTAACTTTTCCTTAACACAAATGAGGCTCGGATGCAATGGATGATCATTTCTCTTATCTGAGAGAAATGGCAGGTCCCCACTGAGTTGCTGATGGGTGGCAGCTGCTGCTTCAGTTGATAGGTCTAGGCTTTGGATCTCATTGGAAGCCAAGCTTTTCACCTTGGCATTACACATCCTCCACCCTCCACAAAGCCCTGCTGCCTTTTACTGTGTTTAACTCCAGATGCTATCTTTTGTCAGGGCAACTATCTGTCCCTTCTCTGTACAGGCCTTCCTACTCTCATGTTTCCTTGGCCATCTTTCCCTTTGCCTTCTGTGCTCACATCCCTGGGTCTAGCTGGCTACTTCTTCAGCTCATGTCTCTTGTAACTCTTCTCCTTAGTGGTCTGAGGCCAAACCTGCCAGCATCACTGTCTAGCAGTCTCTTCCCAGAGAGGGGCAGTCTTCTCAGCACGCACTGAGTTCTCAAACCTTCCCTGCTGTACCCTTCTAAAATCTGCCAAACTCATAGGCCAGGTAAAGCAAAGGCCCCATGTGTATGGGGCTTGGCTCTCCCAGCTCCTCTTCCAGGAATGATGCTACTTTTCCAAGTGAGAGACTCTTGCCAGTGAGAAGTGAGGGAAACAGACCTCAGGCTGAGTTCTGCACAAGCAGCCTCCCTCAAGTAGCTTTTCCTAATGCAGACAGCTGAGAAGCAGCCCTCCTGGCTGTGGCCTAAGTCTGCACAAACCCATCCCTTCTTAGTGGTCCATTTGGAAACCATGGGCATAACATGAAGGCTTATACTTGGCTGCAGAAGCTTCTCATTTTTCGCTGTATGTTTACCTATCTCCCTCCAGAGGTGCATTGTTCTGCAAAATTGAATAGGCCTTATCATGTACCAATGGCTGTGCACCAGAAAGGCTGTACTTTCTCTACTCAGCCCAGGGAGGTTAGCAGAGGAACTGCAAGTACATCCCTCAACACAGAGATTCTGGCAGAGGCAACTTCTTAGTAGCTGGCAACTGTAGGCCAGATTTACCCCTCTCACAAGGCTAACGCTGGCAGCATCTTATTGGCTCATGTTTGTAAATAAGCAAGATTGTCACCGCTAGTCTGTAACAATCTGGCATCTATGACATAACACACGGCACGTGTTAAGGTTCTTTCCCCACTCTGAACTCTAGGGTACAGATGTGGGGACCTGCATGAAAGACCCCCTAAGCTTATTTTTACCAGCTTAGGTTAAAAACTTCCCCAAGGTACAAACTTTGCCTTGTCCTTGAACCCTATGCTGCCACCATCAAACGTGTTAAACAAAGAACAGGGAAAGAGCCCATTTGGAGACGTCTTCCCCCAAAATATCCCCCCAAGCTCTACACCCCCTTTCCTGGGGAAGGCTTGATAAGAATCCTCAGCAATTTGTACAGGTGAACACAGACCCAAACCCTTGGATCTTAAGAACAATAAAAAATCAATCAGGTTCTTAAAAGAAGAATTTTAATTAAAGAAAAGGTAAAAGAATCACCTCTGTAAAATTAGGATGGTAAATACCTTACAGGGTAATCAGATTCAAAACACAGAGAATCCCTCTAGGCAAAACCTTAAGTTACAAAGAGACACAAAAACAGGAATATACATTCCATCCAGCACAGCTTATTTTACCAGCCATTAAACAAAAGGAAATCTAACGCATTTCTAGCTAGATTACTTACTAATTTAACAGAAGTTGTAAGTCTGCATTCCCGATCTGTTCCCAGCAAAAGCATCACACAGACAGACAAACTCTTTGTTCCCCCCCTCCAGATTTGAAAGTATCTTGTCTCCTCATTGGTCATTTTGGGTCAGGTGCCAGCTAGGTTACCTTAGCTTCTTAACCCTTTACAGGTGAAAGGGTTTGCCTCTGGCCAGGAGGGATTTTATAGCACTGTAAACAGAAAGGTGGTTACCCTTCCCTTTATATTTATGACATGCCCCCCCAATCACAGATAGGGTGAAACACTGGCTGTGATTTCTTCCTGGAGCTCTAAGGGAAAACAGAGTTAATAAGACACATGCATCTCTAAATATACTACTAACTGTATAAAGACTAACAATATTTTTCACATCTTAAGGATGATTTGGACCAGTTGATTCTGGGAAACTTTCATGGGAGAGTGCATCAGCCACTTTGTTAGAAGCTCCTGAGATGTGTTGTATATTGAAATCAAAATTTTGGAGAGCTAAACTCCACTGAATAAATTTTTTGTTATTTCTCTTGGCGGTGTGAAGCCACTGTAGCGCAGCATGGTCGGTTTGCAGGTGGAAACACCATCCCCAAACATATGGGCGTAACTTTTCCAGAGCATAGACAATGGCGTAACATTCCTTTTCATTGATTGACCAGTGACTTTCTCTCTTAGACAGCTTCTTGCTGAGAAAAACACGACAGGATGGAACTCTTGATTCAGTACTTCCTGCATTAAGACTGCTCCCACACCACGCTCGGACATGGTTACTAGGAACGGTTTGTCAAAGTCTGGGGCCCTTAGCACAGGGTCAGACATGAGTGTCGCTTTAAGCTGGTTAAAGGCCTTCTGACACTCTTCAGTCCACTGAACTGCATTTGGCTGTTTCTTTTTGGTTAGGTCTGTCAGTGGGGCGGCGATTTGGCTGTATTGCAGTACAAATTGCCTGTAATAGCCGGCCAAGCCTAAGAAGGATTGGACCTGTTTCTTTGACTTTGTGACAGGCTACTTTCGGATAGCATCCACTTTGGCCTGTAGGGGGTTGATAGTTCCTTGACCCACCTGGTGTCCAAGGTAAGTCACTCTGTTAAGGCTAAGAAGTGTCAAATAGGCCTAAACAGTTAGTCCTGCCTGCCTTATGCACTCAAAGACTTTTTGTAGATGTTCCAGGTGTTCTGCCCAGGAATCCGAAAATATGGCCACATCATCAAAGTAGGCGACTGCTTATTCTTCCAATCACACTAGAAGACCATCTACAAGTTTTTGGAAGGTGGCGGGTGCATTCTGCAGCCCAAAAGGGAGCACATTAAATTTATACAGCCCAACGTGTGTGATGAAGGCTGACCTTTCTATACATCTAGCGGTACCTACCAGTACCCCTTGGTTAAGTCCAAGGTAGAGATGAACTGGGCCCGTCCCAGTTTCTCCAGTAGTTCATCTGTGCACGCCACTGGATAGTTGTCTGGGCGAGTTACAGCATTTAGCTTACGGTAGTCCACACAAAAACGTATCTCCCCATCTGGTTTGGGAACTAGAACCACTGGAAATGCCCATGCACTGCCAGAGGGGCGGATCACACCCATTTGTAGCATATCTTGGATCTTCCGTTCTATAGCAGTTTTAGCTTGAGGAGACACCCAGTAAGGTTGGGCTATAATTGGGCGAGCATTACCTGTGTCAATGGAGTGGTATGCCTCTTCGGTCAGTCCTGGGGTGGCTGAGAACGTCGGCGCATAGCTAGTGCACAGCTCCTTGATCTGCTGTCGCTGCATACGCCCAAGGGCCATGGAGAGATTTACCTATTCCACACCACCATCACTTTTCCATTAGTAGTATTCACTTTCAGGCCACTCAGTATCATCTCCTCCCTGGGCTGTAAACTGACAAAACCTTTAATTCTTTGGAATAAAAGGGCTTTAGAGAATTAATATGGTACACCTTAGGCTTTCGGCTGGAGGTGGGCAATGCTATGAGATAATTAACTGCTCCCAGGCACTCTTGGATCGTGAATGGCCCTTCCCAAGACGCTTCCCTTTTATGGGCCTGGAGTGCCTTTAAGACCATGACCTGGTCCCCTACTTTGAAGGAACGCTCTCTGGCATGTTTATTATACCAGGCTTTTTGCTCTTTTTGAGCATTCTTTAGGTTTTCTTTAGCAAGGGCTAAAGAGGTTCGGAGGGTGTTTTGTAGGTTGGTTACAAAGTCCAAAATGTTAGTTCCTGGGGAAGGTGTAAACCCCTCCCATTGCTGCTTCACCAACTGTAATGGCCCCTTAACCTCATGGCCATAAACAAGTTCAAACGGTGAAAACCCTAAACTGGGATGGGGTACAGCTCTGTAGACAAAGAACAACTGCTGCAACACTAGGTCCCAATCATTGGAGTGCTCATTTACAACTTTACGTATTGTGGCCCCCAAAGTTCCATTAAACTTCTCCACCAGGCCATTTGTTTGATGATGGTAAGGGGTGGCAACCAAGTGATTTACCCCATGAGCTTCTCAAAGGCTTTCTATAGTTCCTGCCAGGAACTTAGTTCCTGCATCTGTAAGGATGTCGGAGGTCCAACCTACCCTGGCAAAAATGTTCATTAGTGCCTGACACACACTTTTAGCCCTAGTGTTGTACAGAGCTACTGCTTCCGGCCATCGGATGGCAAAATTCATGAAAGTCAGTATGTACTGCTTTCCTCTGGGAGTCTTTTTCGGAAAAGGACCCAGAATATCCACAGCTACTTGCTGAAATGGAACCTCAATGATGAGGAGTGGCTGGAGAGGGGTTTTGACCTGATCTTGGGGTTTTCCCACTCTTTGGCACACCTCACAAGACTGGACATAGGTAGAAACATCCTTGCCCATTCCCTCCCAGTGGAACGACTTTCCCAAATGGTCCTTGGTTCTGTTCACCCCAGCATGGCCACTAGTATGATCGTGGGCTAAGCTTAATAGCTTTACCCGGTACTTAGTGGGAACTACCAACTGTCTCTGAGGATGTCAGTCTTCCTGGTGTCCACCAGAAAGAGTTTCTTTGTATAAAAGTCCTCTTTCTACAAACCTGGATCGATCAGAAGAGCTGAGAGGCGGTGGGTTGCTCCATGCCGCCGTCCAAGCTCTCTGGAGGCTTTCAACTGCTTCCTGTTCAGTCTGGAACTGTTCCCTTGATGCTAGAGACATCAGTTCCTCATTGGATTGTGGACCTGGGCTTGGTCCCTCTGGAAGCAATGCAGGTGATGGGGTTGTTTCCGTTGACTGGCACTCTCCATTGGTGCACTATGTTGGGGGTTCAGGCTCTGGCTAAGCCTCTTGTGTAGGGTTATCCACTGCTGCTGGTACAGGTTTGGTGGGGCCCTCTGGAGTTGGGATTGCAAGTACTAGATTCAGTGCTGGCAATAGTTCTGGTGCTGGTTGTTCTGCCAGTTCCGGTTCTGGGACTGGCTCTGTCTGGGTCTCTGGGACTGGATCCACTACTGCTGTTGCAGACGTTGGCATGGGGTCCAGTTCCATCACCTCTGACCGGGTCCTGGTAGAAGTTTCCGGAACAGAGCTAGGTGTGACAGCTTGCTTAGCCTGGCTGCAGGTGACCATTCCCACCCTCTTGGCTGACTTCACACGATTGGCCAAGTATTCCCCAACAGCGTGGGGATGGGATAATCATCATAGACTGCAGAAGTCCACGTTCCTGACCAGCCCTTCTACTGGACCGGCAACTTGGCTGTAGGCAAGTCAAAAGAGTTTGACTTGAAGGGTTAAATCGTCACTTGGACCTCTGGGTCGATTAAATTGGGGTCCACTAAGGAAGCATGGATAGCCGACACTTGTGCTCCGGTGTCCCTCCACGCTGTGACCTTCTTCCCACCCACATTCACAGTTTCCCTCCACTCTGAGGGTATCTGGGAGGTATCTGGGCCTGAGGACCTCTGGTTTGATTCTGGTGCAATGAACTGTAATCTGTTGGGGTTCTTGGGGCAGTTGGCCTTTACATACCCCGGCTCGTTACATTTAAAACATTTAAATGTAACATTTAAAATATCGTCCAGCTGATGGGGCACTGGGGCGAGGTGAGTTGCTGGAGAACGGTATGGCGGGACGATAAAGGTGTCTGGAGTGTTCCTTGGTGTGTAGCTGGGGCCTTGGGCTGCTCCCGGTAGTAGGGTGTGGTCTGAGGGTGTCCCTTCTGGTATCCGCTCGAACTGCGACCAGGGTTGTTTCTCTCTCCTCCCCCCACCCGTTTTGTCCCAGTTTGCCCCGCCTCTCTGGCGGTCTGGGACTGCTCGTATTGATCAGCATAAGAAGCAAGACTTTCTGCTGAGTCCATTTTCTTATCCCATAAACACTGTTTTATATCCTTCTTGGACATATTCAGGAATTGCTCCTGAGTCATCAAATCACACATTCCTTCAAAGCTAGTTACACCCCTTCCTTTGACCCATTTATTTAACAGATCCCTCATCTGGTTTAGATAAGCCACATTACTTAGTCCAGATCCTCCCTTAAGGGCTCTAAATTTTACTCTGTAAGTTTCAGGTATAACTTGAAATTGCTTTAAAACCAAATCCTTGAATTTATTATAGTCAGAAGCCTCATCAATAGGCATCTTATTGAATATGTCCAGAGCTCTTCCAGTCAATTTTGTGACCAAAGTGGTCATCTTGTGAGCTTCAGGAATTTGATGGAGGTGTGCACAGTCTCTCAAAGGTGAGAAAATATTCAGCAATATCACTGGATTCATCATACTGTGGACATAGTCGCTCCCATTTGTGGCTTGTTGGGGAAGGATTGTTAGGGTTATTCGGTATATTCTGCTGAGCCTTTGCCATCTCCATCTCCAGTGCATGCTTCCTCTTTTTTTCCTTCTCCTCCTTTTCTTTTTCCATTGCCTCCATTTCTCTCCTGTGGGCAGCCTCCATTTCTTTTTCTTTTCCCTCCATTTCCATCTTTCTGAGTTCTACCCGTCTTTCATGTTCCTTTTGTTCTTCCTCAGCTTCAAATCTGGTTAATTCCAACTTCTGTTGAACAGTGCAGTCTGTCATCCTAACCTCTCTGTTTTTAACTAACTTTACACCCAAGAGTTAGAAAGAAAAACAAATAAAACAAACAAACAAACAAAAAACTGGCTTGTAAAATTTTCCTGTGCTGTAACCGGATACCTTTTTTCCCCCTGATAGCTGTTCTCAGCCTACACAAAAATCCTTTTGTTCTGCCTGGGGGACAGAGCAGCAGGCATAGAGACAGATTCTACAGTTGCAATCACCTTTTACAAAACCTTTTAAAATCCTGCTGTGCTTCTGGTTCAAAATGATCCCACCGCTCTGCCACCATGTCAAGGTTCTTTCCCCACTCTGAACTCTAGGGTACAGATGTGGGAACCTGCATGAAAGACCCCCCTAAGCTTATTTTTACCAGCTTAAGTTAAAAACTTCCCCAAGGTACAAACTTTGCCTTGTCCTTGAACCCTTTGCTGCCACCACCAAGCGTGTTAAACAAAGAACAGGGAAAGAGCCCATTTGGAGACGTCTTCCCCCCAAATATCCTCCCAAGCTCTACACCCCCTTTCCTAGGGAAGGCTTGATAAGAATCCTCACCAATTTGTACAGGTGAACACAGACCCAAACCCTTGGATCTTAAGAACAATAAAAAATCAAACAGGTTCTTAAAAGAAGAATTTTAATTAGAGAAAAGGCAAAAGAATCACCTCTGTAAAATCAGGATGGTAAATACCTTACAGGGTAATCAGATTCAAAACACAGAGAATCCCTCTAGGCAAAACCTTAAGTTACAAAGAGACACAAAAACAGGAATATACACTCCATTCAGCAGAGGTTATTTTAACCAGCCATTAAACAAAAGGAAATCTAACGCATTCCTAGCTAGATTACTTATTAACTTAACAGGAGTTGTAAGTCTGCATTCCCGATCTGTTCCCAGCAAAAGCATCGCACAGACAGACTAACTCTTTGTTCCCCCCCTCCAGATTTGAAAGTATCTTGTCTCCTTATTGGTCATTTTGGGTCAGGTGCCAGCTAGGTTACCTTAGCTTCTTAACCCTTTACAAGTGAAAGGGTTTTGCCTCTGGCCAGGAGGGATTTTATAGCACTGTAAACAGAAAGGTGGTTACCCTTCCCTTTATATTTATGACAGCATGTATAGGAATATACTGTGTATACTGGAATGACCTAGGGCCTACGATAGCTGAGCCCTGATAACTCAAGAAAGTGCTGCAGTACATTAATGATGTCAAATCAGACTAAATGAGAATGCAGGTCCCTAGTTCTGGTAGCCGAATTCCAGCTCTGGGACATCTCTCCCCCACGACATCCAGCTTCTATTAATATGCCATCCATGTCTTTCCCACAAAAACACTATCTTACCATTCGGCATAAGGTCCACCACCATTTTTGGATAAGCAATGTTTGAACAGCCAACTTTGGTGCCACAGTAGCTCTCACATATTGAAGGCACGACACAAGCCACCATATCTGAGAAAAAGATAACAAGACAGGGTTAGCTGGAGTCATAGCAGCAAGTTACCCATAAATCAAGAGAAGTTCCCAAACCCATCTCCATGCTAAACCACTGGATTTATTTGCCTGATCTCACCCTTGACTCCGCAGCTGTGGGAAGGAATTCCATTCCTGCATCACCTCTTTCCTAGCCGGAGAACAGTGATGATGGTGCTGAGGTCAAGCCACCAAAACTGCATTTGCAGAACTGCACAGGAGGTCGGGACTGAATCATGCGAGGACTGCAAAATCGGGGCTCAGGGGCCAAGGCAAAGTTAGCGTGTGCTCTGAAAGGCCCTCTCCTGCTCAGAGTCACCTGCTCTCCTTTGTTATTGTACACACAGCTCATCGAAGAGGGGAAAAAACAACTGGTCCTGAGCTCACACTGAGCTCTGGCAGCCTGCAACTCACAGGCATTTCCGTGATCTGGGAACACTCCTCTGTGGGATCCAGGCACGACTCCCTCTGCGCCAGCGAAACGTCACTCACAGACAGGAGTGTTTCCCCCCCACTCAGGTGGAGCAGGAACGAAGAGGGCAGGAGAGAGAGAGACTCAGCGACACCAGTTCTGCACCAGGGACAGTGGAGCCCTGAGCAGGGGATGGAGAAAGAGCAATAGCTTCTTATTTTGTGGGAGCAGCTGGTGTGTGCATGTGTTTTGGGTGAGGAGAGGGGCTGAAGGAGTGGGGGAAGGGGAAACAGTGAAGAGAAAACTGAGTGGTGTAGGATTCATACAAGGTTCATGCGCTTGGCAACATTCAGGGCACACCCGGAGTGTTGTGCTGGACCTGTGCACACACAGCTCCTCTCAAGGGCATGAACCTTGGAATCTCGCCCAGATGACATGAACCGTGGGAAGCCTCTCAGGACTGGGCTCGAGGCCCGAGAGCAAGGAATGCGGTAGATAGAAATTGGTAAATAAGAATGTTAAACAAAGCCAGTGTATTCCTTTTATCTGTTGGAGAATGTAATGCGCGGGGGGAGAGAAAGAATAAAGGGGGAAGGTGGAAAGCTGACAGGCAGAAGCCCGTTAGCAGACCAGCTTGCTTGCTTGCTTACAGCTCTGTGCTGTCTTGTCATTGAACCGCCACAGAGTGGGGCTGGAAGAGGAGTGAGAAGAGAATGAGGAGGCTACAGTACTAGGTCTTACCTGTGTACAGAATTCGACTGATCATCCCAGGCATCACCATCACAAACATGGGCAGCAGCTTCAGGTACCCACACATGACACAGCCGGCCTTCACATGGGACATGTTCTTGGCTGAGAGGCATCGTTGAACAATAACCTGTCAATGAGACAGTAGATGTGAATGACTCCAGCTTTGTCACCCACATACAATGCCGGGCACACCAAGGCACAAATGAGACTCTTTAAACTGTGTTCCAATTTGCCCTTTCCCATAATTAGAAAAACAAAAGAGCACTTGAAGGCCTTAGAACAAACCTAAATGGATAAAAGAAAACACTTTTGTCCAGGGTATGTTTAACCTGTGAGACTCCCTGCCACAGGATATTATTGAACCAAGAAGCTTAGGAAGTTTCAAAAGGATTAGACATTTAAATGAATAAGAACAGCAGACACAGTTACACTAGCTAGGATACAAATTATAAGGACTTTCAATCTGATCACCAGCTGGGGGCTGGAAGAATTCCCCCCAACTCATACATGGTATGCAATACTGCAACATTACAGTAGTACATTCTCCTTCTGAAACATACCACTTTGATCATTTTTGGAGACTGGAAGGACCATTGACCTAAGGAGAAGAAACGGAAAGGAAACAGATGGACAGTCCCCCAGCCTAGCACGGACGGACTGACATACACAGACCATCTGCCCAGCATTGTTTATGCAAGGAGATTGCAGCAGCACACATACAAGATACACCTAGTACAGCTGGATGGAAAGCCAGGTCTATACCAGGATTGATAAAGGTCATTATATTTATATTGATATCCTACTAAGATGCGCACATTTGAAAACTAGATCACAAGAAAGGGAGAAAAGCATCACACAGAACATATGCTCAGCATGACATCAAAAGGGTAGTAAAGGAACACACACACACCCCATTGACTTAACATAGAAAGGGCTGAGCATTTAAAAGCTATAGAGAAAAATCACCTTCCCTTAAGGAGATAAAGGCATGGGGGGTGGGGTGAGAGAGAGATCAGTCCAACTACACTGCAGATTTTAGAATGCTCTGAAATTCCAATTGTTGCCTTTACACTACCTGATCTGTGCACCAGTACCACAAAGCGAGGATGCTCAAGCCAAAGGTAAGCCCCGGCCATGGCAGGTCTCCAGTGATTGGGTCTCGGAAGATGTGGAAAGAATCTTCCCGAGGGGTGTAGCATTTTGGATCAATGTTAATATTTCCATATGAGGTGTTTCCTGGAATTGCTTTCATATATTTCTCCTTAAAGGCCTCATATCCTCCTACTTTGGCAAATGCTGAAAAACAATGTAAAGATGCTTGAAATTCCTGATGGAGTGGAAGAGCCCCAGGAGAAAACTCCATGCTATCCGTGTGACAAATCTGCCCAACAGAGATCAACACTGTCAGAAGACATCAAAGTATGTGCTATGAACAATCTCAAAAGCAAGGAACCACAGTGGCTTTCCTTCTAAAGATTCCTTTATACTCCACTGTCCTTCCCATGCCTCAGATGCCTGCTTACACCTTGCCAGAAAGTATAATGTAGGTATAATATCTCCAGGCTGCCTGACCCAGGTAACGACCAGAGACAGAGTCCACCAGATGAAGTCAATCTGAAATGTTTATTGTGAAGCAGGGGGACAACTTCATTTCAGTGAAAAGCTTCCAAAGAGGAAGACCAAGCAGTAAGAAGCTACAAGGTAAGGGAGAGGAAATTACAGCCTCACAGGGCTCCCTGCCTTTACTACCTCCTCTTGATTAATTTTGTAGGTTGATCCCTAAATACTAGGGTTCTGTGTCACAGGTGGACTGCATTTTAGTATCTTTGTGATCTTGTGGACACCCAGCCTCCTATTCACAATCACGCGGCCCACCTCCTCTGCCACTCTATGTCATCCTTATGGTAACTACAGAACCTGCATAAATATTTAATGTATTTGAGCTTTCGTCATGCAATTTAGCAGCTGGAAACAAGGCGCAGCCATACCATATGACCAACCAGCTCCCCAGTTAGCACCAGAGGTCCATGGACCACAGACTCAGAATCTTGGTCCTACTTTAATATTATGCATTCCTGGATGTGTTGAAGGTGCAATGGTCGGGATGACAGGAGGGCTTAGCAATGCGGCCTTCCCCTTTCCCCCAGCAAATACATGAAGCAATTGGAGCGCCTCAGCTGTTAACCTGTCAGGACTCCACAGTGCTGGATTCATTTCCACAGGACACTGGGGGCTGCAACTGATCATTCCAGCTCTCGTTCATCAGATTTACTTACCAAATCCTGTGAGAATAAAGGATCCCACCAGCATGATGATGGTCTGTAAGGTGTCTGTGTAAATCACGGCAGCAAGGCCACCTAAAGGCAAAGAAAAGCCAGAAAAATATGAGAGCCCCTGTGCTAATGCCTTAGTGGGAATCACCTCTCTTTGTTTCCTTCTCTGTCTCACTCACACACACACCCCTCTCCCCTTTCGTGCTCTCATTTTTACCCTCTTACTCCCCACTTCCATTTTCATCTTTCTGGATCCCCTTTTAACTTGTTTTTAATTTATCAATCTGTTCCACAAACTCACCTGTGATCGTGTAAAGACCAGTAACACCCAGCAGTATGATTATGGCCAAATAAAGGTTTAGCCCCATGGCCATTTGGATAAATATAGCTCCAGAGAACATGTCTGCCTAATAAAAGGAAAGATGACAGTTTAGGGAATGCTTAAGATATCATCTCTACTGATAGCATCTCTTTCCCCCCACTCCCCCAAGCACTGCACAAAAGAATAAAAGCACATGCAAAATAAAGACTGGTCCTGTCTCCTTGACAAAGATCTGCTTTATTTTAACTGCCAGTGGATTTTTGAAGTTCACGTCTTTGTTTCTGCAGTTTTTACAATGGTTTCCAGAAATCTGTCAGTGATCCATCCTAGCCAAATCTGGCTACCCACCTCTCCAGGCCTGTGAATTTATGTATAGGGAAACAGTTCCACAAAGTTCTTAAATCCCAGACCATCCAAGTCTTTTGATAACCTTTGCATTATATCCAGGAAGAGTTTTATTTAAAAACTCTTTTGTCTTTATTTAGGTCTTTGCTCAATGCCATTCTTCCAGGCTCACCTTTCCAGTGCAACACAGATGCTTGGTATGACTGGTCTGCCTAGTTGAGGACAAACAGAAATCAAAGATGACACCTTATTTTACACAAATTCCATGAATATCTGTCAAAGTAATTAGCATTCAACAGGCCAGCTGGAGAAACAATTAGCTCTTGTAATGACATGGATTTTCAACTTCGTGAATACGGCCTGGGATTTTAGTTACCAACACATTTGCACCAAGGAAACCCCCTAAAGTAGAGATAATTTGAAATCAGGGTAACCAATTCATGCCTCATCAGTGTAATTTCTATCTCTATTAGGGGTTTGCAACAGTGCAGCATGCTGCACCACTGCAAAGGGGGGAGTGTCTGGGGGGTGGGGATTTTCCATAGTGCCTACATGCCTTAGGAGCATATATGCCATTAAAAGTCATCTCACTGAATTTGTGCTCCTAAATCACTTAGGAGCTTTTGAAAACCTCACCCTAAAATCCCAGGGCAGACAAGGCGTAAGAGGGATATTTAGTCCTCAGCTCTACTAGGCTTTAGGGCAAACATTTATTCAAGGAACATAGGGAGCGCATCTAGTCAGGTATTCTGCCACAAGGAGAGAGGTAATATAGAAGTCATGCATCTGGCTAATTGTGCCATGCTGTACATAACACTACTTAGCACATTTTACCTTTCAAGCCCTTTACAATCAGTAAGTAACATATCCTCATGACTCCCCAGTCAGCCAGGAAACTGAGTATCATCCTCCGCATTTTATAGACAAGAAAACTAAAGCAAAAATATAAAGAGGCAAATCCATTCCACAGCACTCAGCCTGAGTAGCTGGGCAGATGCTGGAGGAAGAAAACCTCTCCCCCAGGCCACTGAGGAAACTCCACCTTGAGACTGTCACCACCTCAACACCCTGCCCCTTCACCCCTTCTGCCTTCCGGGCAAGGAGGAGGCCTGTGCAGCTGCAGATCCTCCAGCCCTGCTCCCACCACCAGCCACATGCAGAGGCATTGTGAAGCTGAACTGTGTACCACACAGGGTGTGAAACGTATGCCTGGTCCCACCAACGAATTCCATCCCTGCTTTCACCATCTGTGGCCATGGAGGCTGGGGCTGGGTTAAGATGCAGGAATTCAGAAAGCGTAATCCCACAGGCTAACTATGAGCCCGTGCTGCTCTCTATGGGAGACGATTCATTCCTGACCCTCACAGCTGATCATCTTATGCCCCAAAGTTTGAGGTTTAAAACGTAGTTAATTATTTAACATCCTGAGCAATATGTAAACTCCTTGGATTTACTGAATCGCCTTCCAAGTTCACCTCTTCTACCTCCCAGTTACATTATTTACTGCTAATGTTTCCTTGTTATGGATACCATTAAAACGTTATATCTCTGAATGTACTAAACCTTCTCCATGCAAAAAACTCACTCTAGAGCTAGGCACACATCATTCAAGAACCACTAGGCAAAACTATTAATGACATGAGTGTCCTTTTACAACTTCCATTACATCTAAAGAATTCCAAGGAACACTTGCACTGCATTCACAGACTTGGGTTTTAAATTCCTTCAGATGACGGGGGAGCAGCCAGGTACTTGTTTCCCCAGACACCTAGTCTTAATGTAATCAGTTACTGGTCACCAGTGCCTTGCCTACACTAGACGATTTTCTTAAAACTGCCCCCCCTTCTACCATGGGTACAGCTCCACTGGTGACAGCGATGGAAGAAGCACTAATGGTTTTCAGCTCCCTGAAAGCTACCATGGCAACAGCTCGCACAGAGCTGTAGGCTCATGCAGCAGCCAACTGACTTAAGCGTCTCTACTCTGCTTCTGCAGAACTCATCTTGGTTATGGGAGCCCCATGGAGTCAACCCTGACAGCACGGAGTTTCCCAGGGAGCCACAAAACAAGATGGGGGAGGGGAGGACAAAAAATACACAGAACAGAAACAAAAGAGAAAAGAGGCAGAAAATGGGCAAGAAAAAGGAGAGACGGTAGCAATTCTGCAAGGGACATGGAAAAAGGGGAGCCCATCACTGGTGCATCACACAGGGGAGGAACTCTGCCCCCAAAAGGAAGGGAACTTCTGCAGTAGAGAAACCATGGAACATAGAATGTTGCACATTGAGCAAAACCCCAACAATCACATGTACAAGTGATGTAAATGAAGAACCAGCATGTAAAACAGGCACCCACGATACAAGATACTGTGGAGATACAAATATGAACTGCACTGGGCATCATTGTGACCTTATACTTTATTTCAGCTTCAGCCTTGGCAGCCACAATGCCCTGATGTGCTTTGATCATTAAACTGAGAACTTCATCAAAAGCCAGCCCCCCTTGGAAGCTACCAACTCCCCCATATTCTTAATTCCCAAAACAGAATTACTAATTAAAAGCTTTGCATAGGGGGTGTTGGTCTGCCAATTATGAACCACCCTATTTCATTCCCATACAGAGGATAACCACTCATGGTAGTTCATGGGATGCTCTCCCAGAGACTGATTAATATCAGCTACGGGTGTTATTCCAGTTAGTCCTGGATGGAGAATATTCACAGTGTTGTTAAACAACGTTCTCCCTAATCTATAGTCTTTGGGGAGAGCATTCTAAGCATCTTTTTCAACAGTCATTTGTAACACATTAATTAAAATCTCCCTGATTAAGATGATACAACCCTGCCCGCTATTTTAACCCTCTTAGCAAGCAGAATGATGAAATCACCTGTGTTCATATTCCAATATGCTCATCTACAAAGATTAATGCTTCTATATTGGTCAAGGGACATTAGGTGTATTTCCCTCCCCATCTGAACTTTCCTCCTCATCTCAGCTTTTTCCCTGACAAGACCCTGCTCCTCCAGGTCTTCTGGTGGTATCAGGTAGCAGCTCTGATATTAACCTTCCTCCCAGAGAACCTGTTTTCTGTCCCTACTTTTTCTTACTTCTACCAGCTGCCACAAACAACGCTCACTTAGGACTTTCCCAAAAGTTGTGCAACCATGAGCCATCACATTCCAGGTAATAACCTTCCCAGTCACCCTCTTCAGGCAGGCTCAGATAAGGAGATGCAGAGGGGTAACCCCAAAAACCAGATTTGCCCTCTTAAATACCCAAAGCTATTCTTGTGGACCCTCTTGTTCCAGTCTACACTTATTAGGACCAACCAGAGTGCCTTGATTTGCTGTGGTGAGCTGTTCTTCAACCACTCTGTAGGCACTTTTAAGGTCCTCTGCCTGCAGCAGTAACCCCAGCCTACCCAATCAAATCAGATGTCATATTCCATTATACCCTACATTTCAGTTTTAACCTGCTTAACAACATGTTTTTAACCAATCATTTCATTTTGTCCTTTGTGCTTTGGAATGTCTTATACATTGTCCAATCATATGTTAATATCACATTGTGATTATGCTGCAAGGTGAATCGTCTCCTCATACATTTCCATTGTATAAGCCCTTTCTTTTCATTTCAGTAACAACTTCATTAGAGAATCACAGGCATAAAAACAACCTTAAAATAGATTATGAAACTAGGTCACACTCAACCATATTTTCACTCTATAAGTAAGGCTACGATTATGTCACGGAGGTCAGAGAACTTCCATTGATTTCCATGACTTCCATTGACCTCCGTGCACTTTCTGCCCCAGGGCTGGAGTTCCCAGCCAGCCCCTCCCCCCCCCAGCTCCCAACCCCTACCCTGGTGGAGGAACCCTGCAGCTGTCCAGTCATGGCAGGGGGCTGGTGGACCCTGCAGATGCCCACATGCCCTGGCTGGTCAGCTGCAGAGAATCCCTGCCGCTCGCCGTAACTGGACAGCTGCAGGGACTCCCCACTGCCTGCCATCTGCACAGCTGGAAGACCAGGGGCGAGGGGACCCTGCAGCAGCCCAGCCCCACAGGCAGGGGGACCCTGGAGCTCCTGCCCACTGCAGCGGTGGGGGACCTGGGAGCCCCAGCAGCGGTGGGTGTTGAACCCGCTGACCCCTTTTTGTCAGGGATGTTTTTAGTGAAAGTCAGGGACAGGTCACGGGCTGCTGTGAATTTTTGTTTATTCCCGGTGACCTGTCCCTGACTTTTACTAAAAATATCTGTGACAAAACCTTAGCCTTATCTATAAGCAATATAAAAATCTACCTACTTGCAATTCTTTATTGTCTTCTTTTAATGTAAGTCCCATAAAGCTTTGCAAAATAAAGCTACCAGTTTCATACATAAGGGATGCTTGGAGCCCTAGATCTATGTGCTAACAATACCATGCCCAATTAAATGGATGCAACATTTCCAATTACAGCTGCATATAAGAAACAACAGTTGTGTTGACAGCTCCTCATGGAAATAAATGCTACAGAAATTAAAACGGAAACCAAAAAGCCAACTTGGGGATTCGCCATAGACCTAGCCTATTTAATTTAACCTTGGTAAGAATCAGTCATTGTAAGAGAGTGTGAGAATGGGAGCAAAAGGCCAGCTCTTTTAGGTTACATTGGACTATTATCACACTCAGCTCCTATGCAGAGGGCAAAGAGTAACCTTCCATGGCAACTGCAGGAAAACAACAGAGCCAGGTCTGCCTTACCTGTGGACTTGGATGGAGATTTAATGGGTTCAAAAGGGAAGGAAAATCACAGCTCCCTTTGCTCCTGCAATCCCCTTGTTAGCCACACTTCATAGCTCAAACTAATCCACAGACAGGCTCTTTCCTCTTCCCTCCCTTCCTCTCCTTGCACTTCCCCACTCCTTTATTTTCTAACCCCATCTCTCTTCTCCCCACCTGCCTTCCTCTCTTTTCTTGCTTTTGCTTCATTAGTACTAACAGGTTGCATGTTCAGCTGAGGATACAGATGGAAGGATGTGTGGAAAAGTGGGGACAAAAAACCCATTCCTTGAAAGCCCAAGGCCCCTTTTCTCCCACTAGAGCCAAAGTGAGTTACTCATACTCTGCAGTAGGAGAATTTGGCCCAGAATGGGAGACCTTAGAAAGAAGGCTCTAAAACAAAATGCTGAAAATGGGGTGGGGTGAATGTTCCTGGGTAAGAAGCAGCAATAGTTGCCTTTGGGGGACAAAGGCAGAGAACCGGGTATTAAAATTCTGATAGTTTGAGACCTTCTCTTCAGTTTCTCTCACTGACGCCCGAGATGGCGCATACAGTATATAGTACAAGGCTCCAGCCAGCCTAACCTGTTCCGGAGGGGAGCACATGTGGAAACAAAATCCTGGAAAAAGAAAGCTAAATCATAACCACCATCTAGAGAAAGAGTCCCCTGGTATAATCCAACATGCGCAGACAAACAGAGCTGTAGAGCTGGTTTGGATGGTCCGCACTGCTAGACAGACGAGTGACAACATGGAGACAGATTTTTACCTACCTAAATAGAGTCCAGGCAACAAATGAGAGAAGTGAACCAGACAGGTAGAGAGATTTTATGTGAGCATAAAATAATAATACAGATAGGAACTTCACTTAGAATAGAGGAACTGGAAAAGCTTAACTCACCGAGATCTTGGTGAAAATATAGAGGAGTAGAGAAAGGATTGACAGATATATCTGAATCCGTCGGCCACCAAACCGCTTCTTGAGATACTCTGGCATCGTCACCACCTGCAGAGGGAGAGGGAGAAGAATTCACACTATGAACAAAAGACAATTACCATAGGGGGCAGAGGCTCTTCTGTCCAGATACCACACTGGTAAGTGCACTAGAAATGCAGATGGCCTCCAAGAAGCACAGAAAGACAGTCTGTCAGATGCTCCTCATGTCAGGATCTCAAAGACACAGAGACCTCCTTGTTTAAATACATAGAAACAACTTATGTCGAGTCCCTGTCACAATCAGGTCTCTCCTCCCACTGACAATTGTTTTGGGATAGTGCTAGACCCACAAACACAGCAGGCTGAAACAGAAAGATGAAAGCTGGGAACAATAAAAGGCATAACCTAGTGTTTGTACTTACCCCAGCCCTGATGTAGATGGGTACAAACAACCAGCCAAGAACAAATACAATTATCAGGGCCTGTAACCAAGGAAAGAACAGCTGAATTAGCCTCTTGTCCTTTCACCAGCACTTTCCAAGGCCACGTATCCAGCTGCAGAGAGTAAAACGGTGACCAGTGCAGGCGCCCCTGGCCTCATTCTTTCTACTTGTCTGGCATTTTACAGTTGGAACTCCAGGGGTGAAGTCCCAGCCTTATTGAAGTCAAGGGGAGTTTTGTCTTTGACTTGAATGGAACTAGGACTTCACCCCAGGTGTACAATAGAAGCACCCAAGGAAGAGTCCCCCACTGCAGCAGACTTATTGAAGTATCAAAGAGAACGTTGCTTCAGCATTTCCCCATGTCTGTCCATGGGGAAATTCATTTGTAGTGTGTCTAACACTCGTCTTAAAATGTCCTTCTGTTGCACTATCCCACTACAGCTCCACTAGTAGTAGCAACCACCAGAGCATTAGTGTACCCTGGGCACAGGTGCTTAAACCACTGTTTCATTAGTCTTGCCCGGAGCAGGCCAAGGCAACATGGTGTTTTAAACACCAGAAGCACCCAGAAACCTCTCTGTGTTGGCAGATTCACCATTGTTACCACTGGGAAATGTGAAGAAAGTCTAGGGATGCCACCCCAGCACCCTTTACTAGTCTCCAGGCAGCCACCGACACAGGAAAGAAACCACTAACAAATCCAAGTGTGTTATGAACAAGTCTCACTTGTGACTAGCTCTGCTACTCCAAGGTGTTGGACAGCAGAGCTTACTTCCATGCCCATGTCACCCACCAGACTAGCCCACTGACCTGCCTTCTGCAGTGGAAGTAGTTAAGAGGTGTCCTTATACATTATAAGACATATAATACTCTCATATTTGGGACTGTACACTGTAAAGTATGGTAGCTCTGCGATACTACATACTGTATATTCTGAGCATCAGATATTTTATTGGAGATCATACATCAATATTTCTTACTTAAATGTTAGCGATTTGTTTTGTGCAGACTTGTGCACATTAAAACCAATATAGAGCTAAATTCTGCTCTCAGAACTGCACTCTAGATCTCTCATCCACACGCTAGTTCTTTATTGCCTCTCTGAAGTTCTGCTCATAGATCAAGCATAGGACATGCCAGCCATATTGGGCACCATGCTGCTCTCACTTCCACCCATGTACATCAAGAGTAACTCCACTGAAATCAATGGAATTACACTGACACAGAGGCAGTATAAGTGAGAGCGGAATCAGGTCCGGTTCTCTCTCTTGCTAACACAATCAGTATGGATCCCAAAGCAGCATTTTCCCATGTATATTAGCATGTTTATCAGTTCCATTGTGTTGTTTGTATTGTAATGAGCTAACTAGCTAGCTTCTGTGTACATGTACACACATGCACATCACTGTCCTCTACGTCATCAGAAAATAATAAAAAGTGACAGTTTAAACTAACTGATTCCAATGTGTGCATCTCTCTAAGTGAGCGTCTACTCCCTTCCCCTTACACAAAGAAGATGCAATCTATACGGGGCTCATTTTATACCCAGCACACTTCTATTTTAAAAAACCTAAGGCCCATATGCTTCCTTTGATGATTCAAACCAATTACAGGGAAACCCCAAATCTCCAAGGTCTTTTGTTGTGTTGCATAAACTCCTTTGTGAAGTGCAACAGCCAGGGGCATGGCCACTATTATTCCAGAGGCTGAGGATCCAAGGGAAAGAGCTAGATCTCAAGGCTCTTGGCTCATTCATGTTCTCTCATGTCCAGATCTTCCTGGAGCACCAGGTAAACAGCAGCCTGCTCCAGACTCCTTGCTGCCAGGAATTGACCTCCTAGTCCTGTGTCCCCAATTTCCTTCCAATGAGTACTGATGGTAGAGAAGCTAGTGCTGTTCAGGGCAGTGGTAACATGTGATGCAAACTGCACCTTCAGACCAACTAACCTGAAAGGGGAAATACATCATAAAGGGGCTGTTCTCCAACTCCTGCATCTCCTCCCGGCCACACATACATGAGCTTTGTTGCTGAATCCATGGAGGACTACAGGTAAAAACTGACTGAGGAGAGGGAGCACGTTACCTTTCGTCCCAGCTCTCTCCCCCAGATCCTTTCCCAAACCTTTACGGTTCTTCTGCCACACTCCAAGCAGTAGTCGTAGTACTTTTAATCCATTGAGGTGTTTGGTTATAGGACAGGGGTCTGGCCCCAGCAGACTGAGCACAGACCCACACTGGTGGTGCATTAGGAGGTAGCCTCTGCACTCCTTCACTGCTGTCCCTTAGTGAGAGGGGAATGAGAGGACACGTAGGGGGTGAAGGCAACCCTAAATTCCTCACTTCCTGGAGGAAAGCAAAATACACCTCTCCCCCTAATCCCACTTCTACAAAGCAAATTCTCAGCAAAAATGATACAGATGAGATCAGAAAAGCTGTCCTTTCCCCCGATATCTGGAGATGTTGTTTATAAGTATTTGAAAAGCAACCAAAGGACAAGGATAGAGTGGAGGAAATCACCAATATATTTAGAGAGAGAGAAAAACACCTCTGTGGAAAACTGGTTTCCTAATATAGCAATGGCCTTTTCTTCTCCCATTGACTGCGCTGCAGGTGGGAGTGGTGAGAGAGGCTGAGGAATGGGAATCGACACAGTGTTCTTGTGGTGGGTGGTTCTGCCAGTCGCCAGCCCTTGGGGAGGCAGGTGCTGCTGGGCGAGGGCTCTGACGACACTGAAGTGAGTTGGATTTTTAGACAATGTGGGCTCGCCTGATCTCTTTGGATACCCCCGAGGTTACAATTTTTATTTAAATGTGTACCACTTACGTTCCATTCAAATCCTGCAATGGCGATTCCTGCAGCCGCTCCTGTGCCTGCCAAGCCCACAAAGTGCCCACTACCAATGTTACTGGCAAACAGAGAAGCACCAATCTGGAAAGAGAGAGACAACAGATGTGGGTCATAGATCCTGGGCTCAGGCCCTGGCTAAAACAAGAGTTGTATTTGTGATTTTTTAAAAAGTGCATATTTGGTGTTTTGAGATTTCCTGTCTGCCACCACTATGGGACCTGAGTGCCTGATTTCTCCTCTTAAAACCCAACATTGCAGCCATCATCCCTACAGGCAAGGAGGACTGAGCAGGACATCACATATTAACTCAGCCAGAGGGGACACTGGTGAATGCTAATACTCCCTCCTCCACTTGAGCTGAGCGCGTGGCCTACGCCCATATAGAATTTCAGCTCTTTGGAGAGCATTTCCAACGAACATGTGGGTGATGCATTGCGGAATGAGCAGCCAGTGATCTCGGCTAGAGGTCCAGGCAGCTAGCACAAAAGGCTGATGTCACACATCTAATCTGCTCCAGGGACAAGAGGCTGATTCATGCCCCTGTCAGGAAAATGAGATATCTCATTGGGCAAAAGATCCACAAGCCTTACAGCTGACTTGTATCTCCAGTGGGACACACACCCTTTTTGCACTTGACCATCAAGGGGAAAATAGGTTAACTGAATGGGACTCTGGGAGGTGCTATGGTAGGTACAGCTACTGGCCCAAGGGTGCAGTACATGTGAGTGACACACATGTGCATGCAAGGAATGTTGGTATCTCTAAAACCTGTAACATCCTGTATTGATCCCACGGACTGAGTAATGGGGAGAAACAGGAACTGCTGTTATATACGGATGGAAGGAAAGAAAGAAGTTAGTGCTGGATTAAAAGTAAGACAGAGATTCACAAAAGGGAGATCATACCTATGTAACCCTTCTGCCGGGTGGTGGCAGCAGCAACAAGGGACAGGTTAAATATCTAGAGGTCCCTCTTAACATTACAAAACTGGCTTGGGACCCCATCCAGAAATCTTGGAAAACAATTTACTACCGATCCCTGGGAGCCTCTAGGAGGTAACACTTCCCCACTTGCAAACACTGAGTCTGAGTATAACAAAAGAAAACTTTATTAAGACGAAATGAAATACATCGTTAATCTGGGAAAACACAGCAACAATTACTCAAAAGTATGCTAACAAAAAGTAAGCACTGGCCCCATATTATCTTGAGCAGTAGACTTTTGCCTCAGTTTCCCACCTTGTAGTGTGAAAGTCCAACAAACAAACCACTCCCCTTTTCCCTCCGCTGCACCCCACTCACATTTGTCATCTGAGGGCAGTGAAATCCCAGCGTCCAGGGCTGTATTCAGGTGGGTTCACCTCCTGCCCCCAGGCTCGTGGGATGGGGGAGAGATGCCTCTGCTCACCACTGTCACTGTTGCTGCACACCACCATGAGCCTTTGACCAAGAAGAGGCAGCTAAAACCAATGCCCTAAACAGCCTGATGCTAAGACAAGTTTGCCAGGTCTCGAAAGGGCTGACATGCTGGGCTTTTTTTCCAGCAGCAAGGTTGCAGTGAAACTGTATTTTCTATCTTTGCTAATCTTTCCTCTCCCATTTTTGGGTGGTGCTTGTCTGGTTTTGTCTTCTAGGAAATGGGACTGGACTTTAAATAACAATTCCAGCCCATCTCAGCTAACTTCCCCTCTTTCCCCACCCCAAAAGACAGTTATTACCATCTTTAATGCCATCTAAGAGACTGTCAGACAAAGGGTGTTTCTTTCTAAAAGCTCTCTCCACCTGAAGGGAAAGTGAACAAGGGATATTTTTAAAATGAGAGCCTTACTTAATATTTCAAATGCTTTAAGGTTTTTCCTTCTTTTTCCTATATCTTTAATAATAGGTTAAAAAAAAGGTTTAAAGGTGTGTTTGCTAGGGTACTAGGCAGCCTGAGGTCTCTGTATACCAAACCTTGTGTAAACTGTATAAAGATGGACAGTTTCAGGGTCACATTGACTCTTTGGGCCCATATATTCCATCTATATCAGGGGTCTCAAGCATGCGGCCCACATGAGGACTGCGGGGTTATTTCCTGCAGCCCATCAAGCCCCCCTCTCAGCGCGCCGCGTCCCCGCTCCTCTGCCTACCTCCAGGTGCTTCCCGCTGCCAAACAGCTGTTTGGCAGCACTTTCCAGGACGGAGGGGGAAGGAGCGGGGAGCCTTGTGCTCAGGGGAGGAGGCGGGTCAGGGGTGGGGATTTGGGGAAGGGGTTGGAATAGGGGCAGGGAGGGGGCGGAATTGGGGTGGGGACTTTGGAGAAGGGGTGGGAAGAGGTGGGGTGGGGCGGGGCCTCATGGAAGGGATGGAGTGGGGGCGGGGCCAGGGGGGGTGTCAGTGATGTGGCCCTCTGGCCAATGTAGTAGTCCTCATGTTGCCCTCGTGGTGATTCGAGTTTGAGATCCCTGATCTAAATTAATACAACACCACAGAGTAACATTCCCAGCTTTACCCATGGCCGTATTGTATTGTCTGTGTACATTTTTAAAAGAAAAATACAAAACCAAACAAAAAACAATGCAGTTAGCAAAACATTTCAATTAACACAACAGTCATTATTCCCAATTTCAGGACAAAAGAATGCCAACATATGGGTCTATTACTTTCTGCTTCTGTTTGTCTTTCTGACAGGGGAAAGACTCTGTACAAGAGGATCATAAGAACAGCATACACTAGTTACAAATACAATCTAAAAACAAAATCTTTTTCCATAATTGCACGTATATACATAGGGACAGATTTTTTAATTCAGAACTGTGAAAAGAAATTTGCATGTTTTGCGCCAATACTTTATTAATTTGCAGCAAGAAAAAGTTATGTGGAAGAGGTTAGCTGATGGCTGGCAACATGTTTGGCAGTTACTATGTTTTAATTAAACCAGAGTATCTACATAATGCAGATGTCCAGGGCATTCTGCTTAACTGTTCAGGATGGGATCTTAATGCCCTTAGGCTGCTTTGACAAATCCCAGCCTTAGAATATAAGAGCAGCCATACTGGGTCAGACCAAAAGTCCATCCAGCCCAGTATCCTGTCTACCGACAGTGGCCAATGCCAGGTTCATTCCTTCTGGGGCATCTAACAGGTAATGATCAAGTGATGTCTCTCCTGCCATCCATCTCCACCCACTGACAAACAGAGGCTAGGGACACCATTCCTTACCCTTCTTCTAGATACATCATAGACGTAAGATAGAGAAACTGGGCCTTAAACTTTGGATTGTCCCAGACAGAGTTGGACACTAAATCTCATCAATGAGAGTATGTGGGTGCTGTAATATATCGCTGCAGAAACTAAAGGATTCTGGCCTATTTTCCAAGCAACTCCATGATGCCGGAAGGTTGTCCCTTCATGACAGGGTCAGCATTATGATTTTCAGGGAGCTGGCCATTAATGATCTCCCTTTATGATCATGCTGTTAGAATTATGACAAGTTGGAGGGGGTGGGTTTTCTTCTCCTCTGGACAGACCTGACAGACACAGAGCGTGCATAGGATGTGGGGCCGTGAGGGTACACTTGCTGAGCCTGCTTCTCTGATGAGGGAATTTCAAGGGAAAAGTAGCTCCCTCCACCAGTTAGCACTGACTGCGTTTCGGAAAGGATACAGTGGAACTAGAAGTGGGCATGAGGGTTTGAAAGGGAAGGGGTCAACTGTTCAGTGAATGAATGAAAGATATAATGGAAGAGAGGAGATGAAAGATGACGAAAAGGAAAGAAAGACTGTTTGTCATAAATATAAAGGGAAGGCTAATCACTTTTAAATCCCTCCTGGCCAGAGGAAAAAACCCTTTCACCTGTAAAGGGTTAAGAAGCTAAAGATAACCTCGCTGGCACCTGACCAAAATGACCAATGAGAAGACAAGATACTTTCAAAGCTGGAGGGGCGAGTAGAAACAAAGGGTTCTCTCTGTCTGTGTGATGTTTTTGCCCGGACCAGAGCAGGAATGCAGGTTAGAACTCCTGTAAAGGGCGAATAAGCAATCTAGTTAGATATGCGTTAGATTCTGTTTTGTTTAAATGGCTGATAAAATAAGTTGTCCTGGATGGAATGTATATTCCTGTTTTTGTGTCTTTTTGTAACTTAAGGTTTTGCCTAGAGGGATTCTCTATGTTTTGAATCTGATTACCCTGTAAGGTATTTACCATCCTGATTTTACAGAGGTGATTCTTTTACATTTTCTTCAATTAAAATTCTTCTTTTAAGAACCTGATTGCTTTTTCATTGTTCTTAAGATCCAAGGGTTTGGGTCTGTGTTCACCTATGCAAACCGGTGAGGATATTTATCAAGCCTTCCCCAGGAAAGGGGATGTAGGGTTTGGGAGGATTTGGTGGGCGGGGGGGGGGGAGGGGAAGAGACGTTTCCAACCAGGCTCTTTCCCCGTTATATATTTATTAGATGCTTGGTGGTGGCAGCAATAAAGTCCAAGGGCAAAAGGTAAAATAGTTTGTACCTTGGGGAAGTTTTAACCTAAGCTGGTAAAGATAAGCTTAGGGGGGTTTTCATGCAGGTCCCCACATCTGTACCCTAGAGCTCAGAGTGGGGAAGGAATCTTGACACTGTTGAAAGAGAGAGAAGGAGAAGGTTACTTTAAAATCCTCTGACAGGTCAGTTGTTGACAGGGGCTCACTATTCAGGAAAGCACAGTCAGGCTGAAGCTATAAGAAAGTTACTGTATATTTGACACATTATTCATTAATCTATTCGCCTTACTATTTTCATTGGCTGTTTGCTCCCCAGAAGTCCTGGTGCTTGCTGCCCCACAGGCCTCCTAAGGAACCTGGAAATCCTACACTTTGCCTAGCAAAGTAACTTAAACAATCCCCAGCCCCTACAGTGCACTATTTATGCCATTGATCCACCTCTTTACGTAGGGACTTTACCCTTGTGGAATGACACTGGATTTTTTTTTTTTTACTTAACTATTTTGGGACACAAAAGTGTATTTGTGCAAATCCACAGCTCTCCCCACCCTTAACCACTCAAACTTGCATATTGCTTAGCGCCTCTGTAAAACCTTTGCATGCACCTCTCAAGACTCAGC